TTGGATGTCAGGATGTCATGATGTCTGGATGTTTCTTACTCTTCAATCGTCAATGGTTAAAATCTAGAGCGCTGGACAAACTAATGTTTTTGAAGTTCATAAATATTCATGCGGGGGAAGCCGTGAAACGCCATCTATCAACATGATCTAACAGGGGTAAAATGAGGCCCACGCGTACGAAGTCGCGGGCGGCCGCTAGTTTACAATATTTTGCCTATAATGTGCCCCACGTCTGACCTCAGTCATGTAATCTAAGTTATTTTTGTCGGCTAAATATTCAATGAACTGGGACCAGGCCTGATTCAAATTCAGCCTGGATAGTCAATCTCATTATTGGAATAAAACGGAATCGGAATTTTATTCCAGGGATAAAGTGAGCTGTAACCACTCTCGGTTCGAACCGATAATAAAACATACCACGTAATTACTGAAAATGTATTGACAAGTAAAAGCTCGTAGCTTTGCTTGTTAGATTTTTTTTCACATTTTAGATATTCTTGACAAAAGCTCATTAGCCATTACTTTCGAATTATTGCAGTTTTTTTTAAATTTTTTAATGTTTTTTTTTAATTATTTAAATTGTGTGTATAATCCATAAAAATGATAATTGGACAAGTGACGAAAATTGAACAACTCTGATTGTACATCATTTATTTACTTCCTCCTTCACCCATCTTAGAGAGAACAAATAAATCAAAAACTGTCAAGGAGATAACCCTGAAATTCCGTCATTTGATTCACCGCTACTGGGTCATCAGGTCATCTTGAATTTACAATCAATGTAAACCACAGTACCTACTTACGTATGCCACGCCAAAGGGATGGGCAGATGTCTACGGCGTTGCCATGGGGACGGCCCGTAATTCTTCAAACCCTAAGGGCCCTTCGTCACTGGATTGTAAAAATCTATGGAGCTATTCAGGTCTATAATCTTTGGTAGGGGTTAACGAGACGTGTTAATGTTTTTCTTTACTTTTAATAAAATAAGTAGTGACGTCTTTTTTTCTTGCGCTGATTCTGCTCCACACTGATGGCTGGAGCCTATAATGGATGGTATTGTTTGTTTACACTTACAATGTCACTGTTTTGTTGCAATTTCTTACAAAACTTGCGCGCAGAAAGCAAATCTAGTATACCGTACAATCATCAAACTTCTAATGCTCATAACTCAGTTCAAACTGAGTTTAGAGGTATGCTATACATGTCATAGTAAGTTTGGTTTATAACACTATTTTGTAATCAAAAAATAAGGCTTGGTCGATGGCCACGCGGAAAAAAAAGACGTCACCTTCCATACAAAATCTGGCATTACCATTTATCATTTCACAAAACATCAATACAATTTCTGCAAAACATTTCAGTCGGTTTCGATCTGAAATTCACATTGACATCGAAATAAAACATTTTCTGTGGGAATACGTGATGCGAACGTTGATTTAGTTGAACTGAGTTAAGGGAAATGCTAAAGACTGTAGAAAATAACGGCCTTTGTTGGTCTTTGTACACATCAAACACAGAGTTTCGTGCAATTACCTAGATTTTGAACTTTTGAATCGAATGCTCGAAATAAAATAGACATCTATTTCATGCTTTCTAAATTACTTATATTTATTCTTCATAATATCGATCATATCTACTTTACTTATTTTAAACAAACTGTCCTCTAGGTTGTCAAAACTAAATAAGATCGCTTCATAGCGATAACACTATCTTTTTTTGTTTTATGTGGTTTACAAATAGTGACATCTATTTATAACCTATAGTAACGCTAATACCGGTTGCAGACCAAGAGATAAGCTAAGTTAATTTCGTTTAGCTCGCATAGCTGACGCAGTTTCCCTTAGAATTGGCATAGTTTTCAGTCTACACACGACTATGGGAAACTGCGTCAGCTATGCGAGCTAAACGAAACTAACTTAGCTTAGCTCTCGGTCTGCAACCCGCACAAGTGCAAAGTTTCTCGGAAGGAAGATAAATGTTGCGAAAAATTTAACATACGTTTTATAAGAAACAATTCCCTGCTTCAGAATCCAGGTCAAGTTCAAATTCTTTAATAAGCTCTTTTCAGGACACTTCCCAATGCTCTACCAGCACTTCAGGACAACATATCAGTTGTTGCTAAGAAGAAGATTAAAGTTAAAAGAAGAAGCTCTCATCCATACAATAGAGCCATATTATTATCAGATAATATTATTATTACTATTATTGTGACTCGTAAAGTCTTACGCTATAGATGTACTGGCACCAATTAAATCTTTATTATTTCTACCTTTCAGAGTTGATAAATGACAGAAGAAGAATAAAACCACATTACTTCGTACCCTGTAAACGGGGGTGTAAAAACGTGCCACAGATTACGGTGGATGTAATAAACTAAGCTGTGACGTGTCGTGACGTCACGTGCGTGCGCCGGCCGATAAGGGCGTGTCACGTCGTGGTAATACATAGTCGTGATCTTGTCGCTGCGATAGCCTCACAGGCCAAGAAGGAGGCTTCGTAAGAAATTGGCTTTTATACACAGATATTATAAAGAAGAAAGTAGAAAGTCATAAATTGTTCTTATTCGTTGATGGCCGCAAAGGCCAAGAAGGATAAATAAATAATCTTCGTAGAAAATTTACCTTTATACACAGATATCATAAAGGACTTAATAAAGAAGTCATTCTTATTCTCTGATAGCCGCATTAGGCCAAGCAGTTGAATCTTTCTACGAAGGATGGCCTTTTAATATCATAGAGGACGTAAGAAACTCATGAATTGATTGCGATCGCGCGATTGTAGGTAGTTGGAGAAGATTACAATTAATATAAAGTACTTATTAAAAAAAAAAAACAACATACTGCATGTCCACTGCCACAAAATAAAACTACCGTTGTTGTTTATGAAATTGCTGCAAATGAATGAAATTACACATTATATTTTTATTGAATCAAACTTTGAAACCGTGAGATCCAAATATTTATAAAACGTTTTTGAGTGTTGTTTTTTAATACGAGCCTAAAATAACTAAAACAAACCAACCGTAGAAATAACTCCATCCATGTATTGAATGTTTATTTACA